TTTCGACCCCAAAAAAGTGAACTGTTTATACTATCTGATCCAACTACTTGCATTAAAATAGATATCTTTGACTACAACCTCCAAGAGGCCCAATCACTTCATTCCCCTCCTCACCTTGGTGGGATAGACAGAGCTGGAAGGAAAGGCCACCAGGGTGGTGAGATCAGAATAACGTCGCTCTATGGTCTTCTTCGTAGCAGGACAGTAGTGGACACTGCGGACAACTTTGGGACGAACTAGAGAGCCTAGGAATGGAAAACATGCATATAAAGCATCCAACTAAACAGTGACAAAGGTGGGATCATAGGCAAGCCCATGATGACTCCAAATACTATTCTTCCTACTAGTTTAAGCTATTTCAATAATACTTGTCATTTATTCATTTTTACATTTATATATACACATCACATCGGTGTAAAACTTTAAATACAACTGATCCCGACTGAGAAACAGGCGTTTAGGGTTAGAATGAAGAGACTGCCAATAGCCAAGACTCCTCCACTCTCAGCAGAATTCATCATGGTCACTCAAGGTCCCCCTCATCACGGCGTATACTAGGAGCTCCTCCAAGTTTCACCCCATCATTTCAATGCTCCACCTTTCTGAAGCCACACACTCGCTACCCAGCTCTACTCCACCTCTCCTGCTTTCCCAGCCCCTCCAAGCGTATCCCACCTCCATTCCCTCAGACCCTTACTTTAACCCACTTACACTTAGTGACAATGCCTTCCACACAGACTACACAGCTGAGGAAGCAGGAAGTGAGAGTCCGGGGAGAGACATGCTTGGAGCCAAAGCTACCCTCCAATCCTATGTAGAACTCCTCATACTGCTTCGCATAGGTAGCATCAATGGAGGCCACAAAATCCTTTAAGGCCCGCTGGAAGGCAACCAGCTCCTCAAAAGCATTGCTCAGGAGGCTGCACAGGGGCAAGAGAAAGAATAATTAGGCAGAGGGCAGAACTCAAAAAAAAACAACTGACTCTCAAAACAGAAGTGGAAATTCTTAGATGATCAAGAACAAGAAGTGAAAATCTAGCTACTTCTGCCACCCTATAAGACTCAGGGGAAATAATCAGAACTGAAGACCAACTTCAATTTATCAAAGATGTAGAAATAATACTCAGTAAAACACGGAAGGAAGGAAAAGCTCTTGAGAGAAAAATGCCTACTACCTACTTGGGGAAGATAAAAACATAGGAGCAAGGCTTCAAGGTCAGAAGCATTTCATCCAGGTCTTCTCCTGGGAAGCCTGTCCCAATGTAGGAAAAAGAGAGGGGAGCAATTCTCACTCACAGCCAGAACATCCCCTTGGGATCCGTTGCCACTCACCGATTAGCTCTCTTCTCATTTTTCCTGCGCAGGTCATTCACGTTAACAATCAATCGGTACTGGTTGTCACTGATCAGCTCCCGAACTTTGTTCTGATAAATTCCCCGGTCTTCCTGCAAAATAGCCACCACATATAACAGCCACAAATTCAAAAACAAGACGTTTTTAAACAGAGCAGCTCTCACAGCAAGATAAGTCAATCTCTGCGGCAGAGTTAAACCCCAGTTTCTTCCATATTTTCACTCACTAGCCTCGAATTCCATATACACCCAAAACGGACAGTGTAGGGATTACGTCTCCCTCCAGGTTCGTGCTATTATTCCCATTACCAATAGATTTTCTGTATCCACTCATTTCTCAACCTTTAATGGGGAATTAAAATGAGCACAGAAGAAGTCTACAAGGACAACAAATACTAACCTTGTTAAAATGTAAATTAAGCGGGCTTTTACTATTCATATTAAAATAGCTTTTCATTTAAAAATTGTATACAGAATTAAAATATTTAATTTCCTGATATCTTTATAATATAGGAAGAGTTCTCATATCCAGACCTAATGGAGTTCGGAGCCTTAGCCATTTGTTTACAGATACAGCATCAGCAACCCTTCAAGACACTTTACAAACATCCTAGGGCCTTTACCTGCATCACAAACACTTTTTATCTGTATGTCACTTGGTACTGAAAAAGAATGCTGCCAAATTAGGAAATCTTTTCCTCCCAATAGGCAATCAGTCTCTAATATCCGGGGACCCCACGAAGCGGCGGACCACTGCCCGTCCGATGGTAGTGCTTCCCCAGCCTACTCCTCAAATTCAGAGAGCCGGGCATGTTTTCAAAGAGGTCAAAGTGAGCTTTGCATTTTGTTTGCACTTGAAAGAAGCCTGTCGCCTTTCGCGCGACTCCGCCATCACTTGTACTCAGGAGAAAGTTACAAGATCGCCCTCTAAGGTTCACCTATAGAAAACCAGCTAAGGCCTGACTCCACCGCGAGAAAATCTACAAGACCGAGATGGAGGGCTCCTGCGCCAGCCACCTCTGCCGCGGCAGTCTGCAGGCCTGGCGGGCCTCTGCCTCCCAGGCCCCGGGTCGCCGCTCGGCGTGGAGCGGCGCCCACCTGGCTTCCCTCGGCCTGTCCGCGTCCCTAGCGGCTCCACGCTCCAGAACATCGCGACCCAGGGCCTCCCTTACCTCGTCATCCAAAAAGTCCAAGTAATCTCTCTGCGCCTCCCGCAGCTCCACATCGTCCAGTACCACGGTCCCCGCCATGCCGGCCCACTCAGAACTACCTCCTGCCGAGCCGCGCGGTGGGTCTTCAATAACCCCGCCCCGGCGCGAAAACTTCCGAACTTTTCCCGCCACCAAAAGTTACATCAACGAAGGGGCTGGGTCTCTGGGAGGATATCCGCATTCTGATTGGCTGATGAGAATAGACAGTATCCAATCGAGAGCTTCTTCTTCTTCTCGTTTACCGGGAGCCGCCTCGCTGCGGCAGGAAGGTACCATCGGGAGCGCTGTATGTCTCCTCTCCCGGCTCCGCCCTCACTGATGGGGAAGCTGACCAATGCAGCCGAAAGGAGGCTGGTAAAGCCTGGTCATTGGGCATCCGAAGGCGGGCGAGGTCTGGAAGCGATTAATTCTGGGAATCGTAGTCTTCCCCTTTTCCCGGATGTTTTGATGATTTTTTTTTTTTTTCAATTTGCGGTTCCTTTTACCCTCCGAAGGGTGATCAAACTGAGGCCGGAGGTTGCATTCAAAGACTAAACGTCAGAGAATGGGGGTTTGTAACGCAAGGAAATGAAAATACAAAAGCAAGTGTTTTTTTAAAATATGTGTTCAAATACAGTGTGCTGGGAATGTTTTTTAAGCAGCTGCCCTCAAGTGGCATCCAGGGAAATAAAGTGAATTTTGAGAATCTGTGGGAAGGAAAATAGAACTGTAACCCTTTGGGAAAGGTTATTTAGTTGAACGACCCACTTGCTATCTGAATACCGTTGCTTGAAGTACCCTATAAAAATAACAGGCTGCGGAGGAAGGTGAAGTGAAAGAGAAATTTTCGCTAGGTAACCCAAACCCCTAGAGATGGCCTCGTGTATTATACCAAGTTTTGGACATAATTACGACACCATCTTGCAAACGAGTAAGTTAAAACCTTTCTCGCCTTATAAGATCACAAGATCTTTTTAAATAACAGTGTATTGAAAGATAAACACTGATCGGTTGGCCGGTAAAGGAACGCGCACAGTCAGACAAGTTAAGAAAGTTTCAGAGAGAATGTCTATTTTATTAAGAGAAAGTCTATAGGGCTGAGCAAAGACGACTACAGTCCGGGCTGCACATCTAGTTCCGAGGGAGAGAGTGAGGAGGGTTACATAGGGGTGGTGCTGACAGGGCAGCTTTGTTTGAACAGAAAATGCTGACTGCCTGTAAGCCATTAGCTGTTTTGTGGCGTTTTCTGTTATCTCAAGTTTGGCTCCGTCTGCAGGCCAACAGACATTTTGTTGTTTTCTTGCAGACATGGCTCTGTCTGTAAGTCAAGGTCTCTGAGACCCAACATTCAGAGACCTAACATTAAGTCAAGGTCTCTTAACATTCGGAGACCTAACATTCCAGCCTTGTTTGTTATTAAAAAGGAGAGGGGCTGGAGCTTCTAGGGGCTGCGAGAGGCGGGGGACATGGTGGAAGGGGCTGATAATGTAGGAAAAGCATTTTACGGCCAGTTCCATTTGCGAACGCCTGGAGTTGGCTCTGCAGGAATTGGGTGAAAAGGCAGAGGAGGCAGGGACCGAAGGCTAGGACCAAAAAGATAATGATTAGAGGCACAGTGAGGGGGAGAAGCCAAGGGCCCCAGCTACCCATAAACCCAGAGCTCCACTGGTACTTGTAGCGGTCTCTGGGTTTTTCTGGGGGAGGTGGTGGAGGATGGGAAGGGGGGATGGAGGAGGCTGGGGGGCTGGGAGAGGTCCTGTGATAGGGCCTGAAAGTGGTGTGAGGAGACTTCTAGCCCTGCTGTTCCCGTTTCTACCCCCAGAGATGCCCAGTAACATTAGGAGTGAAATAGAGACGGCCCTTTTTTGGCGCATGAGAGTGTATAGGGGGACAGGTAGAGATGGATTATTGGGGGGGGGGTCTGAATATCTGGAGAAAGTAAAACTAGGGTGTAGGTGCCTGTTCAGGAGGTGGGAAGGCAAGCATGAGGTTCCGAGGAAGAAGAGGCCAAAGGGGCCAAGGCAGGTGAAGAGGTCAAGGGAGAAGAAAGGGGCTAGGGTTCCTGTGTTTTGGGAGGGGGGAGGGGGCTTTTTTGTCTCAAATACTGAATGTGCCCGACATTGGCCCCCGTGAGGGGCTGTATGGGAATATCATAGAGTTTTAATGTCTAAAGAGATGGAGTTTGATGTAAAAGTCAGCTGGGTCAGATGGAACAGGTAGCTTAAGACAGTTGGATCTCTTTTCGCTGGTATGGGGGAACCAGGGGGGAAGTTTCATTGGGGTCTAAGACCTCCCCTGACAGTATAGGGCAGGGGTTGGCAAACTTTTGAGATGGAAGAGCCAATCCTGTCCCTCACAACAATTTAAAAATTATTCAAGAGCCATAAATATAATTTTACAAATAAGGAAAATTTAAAGTGATAGTATAACAAGTAATAGTATTAATTATATCTTTATTAAAATAAGAAAAATTCACACACAAAAAAATGCTCTAATTGGTTTTAATCAGTGTGAGCAATGAGCGTGCATTTCCTGAGAAAGTTTCTGTATCTCTGGCTTGTAACTAGTCGTTTTTAATTTAAGGCATGATTCCAAGTTGGCATCAGTAATTTGGCTCCTTAATTTACATTTAATGGAATTTATGTGAGAAAACGATTGCTCACATAAATATGTAGACCCAAAGATACTGAGAACACCAAATGCAAATTTTTTCAACTCATAATATGAGTCCGGAAGACTATTCCAAGTATTGAAAATCATTGAGTCTGCCTTCTGTAGGTCTTTTATGGCAGTCTGCTTGTGCTGTGAAATCAGACTGCATTTTTCTCTTTCCAGTTCTTCTATTTCAGTACCAAGACGTACAAATTTGGAGCTCCATAAGTCTTTGCTTGTCAAGTCCACCAATTGTATTTCAAAATTAGCCATGTCAATATCAAATGGAGAAAAATTTAATTCCTTAACGTTGGCATTAAGAGGATTTGTAATAAAAGCTAGAGTCGCTTTATTATTTCTGAATTCCTGAAACCTTTGAAGAAAAGATTCTCTCATGTTTAAAACTGCCGTCTTGAAATAATCTTTGTTGATGAGGGCATTGTTTTCTCGGCGATATTGAGACAAGTTTGGGAAATGAACTAAAGTTCCACTCTCTAAATCTTCAGTGAACAGAATCAGTTTCTTTTCAAATGAAATAACTTCTTCTAGCATTGAAAAAGCAGTATTTCCCTTGCCTTGTAATTTAGAATTGAGCTGATTCAGTTGTGATGTAACGTCCACCATAAAGTACAATTTTTGCAACCACTGATCTTCTGTTAATTCTGGATATTGAACACCCTTGTTGTCCAGAAATAGTTTGATTTCATTTATGCAAGATGAAAAACGCTTTAACATGTCGCCTCTGGAAAGCCATCGAACCCTGTTGTACTGGAGAAGATCTGAATACTCGCTCTCCATTTCACTTAGCAATTCTTTAAATTGTCGATGGTTAATTCCCCTTGCTATAATGGTGTTGGTAATCTTAATTACCAATTCCATGATTTTACCAATTTCTTCTGGAAATGTTTGTGCACAAAGTGCTTCCTGGTGGAGTATACAATGAAAAGTAATCACTTCATGATTAATTTTTTCTTTTAAAATTGAAACAAAACCCTTTCTCACACCTGTCATACTTTTTGCACCATCGGTTGCAATTGAAACAATTTTATTGAGCGGGATATGATTTTTTTCCATGCATTCAAGGACAGCATTTGCTATGTCCTCTCCATGCATTTGGCCCTTGAGTGGCAACAATCCCAGAAGTTCTTCTCTCGGACCCTCAGATGATATATACCGCACATAAAGGGAAACTTGGGCTATGTCCTTGATGTCGCATGACTCTACTGCAATTGATAAGGCTGAAGCTAATTTAATGTCTTCCACTTGTTGGTTGGTCACATTTGAGGACATTTTAACTGTCCTATCTGCTACTGTTTTGGCAGATAACGGTATGTTTTTAATTTTATTTAAAATCTCTGCTTTGTTTTTGAAATCCCGAAAAAGTTCTTCAGATGCATTAACAAAATAACATTTTATGTATTCACCATCTGTGAATGGTTTTCCTCTCTTAGCAATCTCCTGACTCACTACAAAGCTTGCAATATTAACATTATTGGCAGACTGTTTCCAATATTTATATACAGAACTTGATTTTTCAACATTTTTCTGAAGTTCTTCAACTGCTCTCTTTCTCGTGTCACCGACAGGATATTGTCTGGCAAATGTGGCATGTTTTGTCATGAAGTGTCTCTCCAAATTTGACTTTTTGTTGTGCGCCAGTTTTTCTTGGCAAATGAGACAGGTTGGAAACCCATCTGAGTTCGAGATAAATGCGAAAGATTCAGTCCATTCAGTTTTAAACTCACGATGCTCATCTATTGTTTTTCTTAATTTTTTCTTCGTAGCCATGTTGAGAAGCACCCTAAACAATATATTTTATTTAACACGTTACAAAAATGCATTATATTAAAAGGAAATAAAATAAACTAAGTGATTATTCAAAATAATAAATAACAATTAATCAAAAATATAATAAAAATAAATCTCACCAGTAACACGTTTTATTGTAACAGTTGCATGTGAAGTAAAACACGCCACGGTAAATCTTGACCGTCAACGTATCTAAATAAAATAAAACCAACATTATTTTTATATACATATTTAAAACAATTGCCTTTATAGTAATAATTGCCAGGTTGCCGTTATCAACAATAACTTTTAACTTGTACTCAACTTGGATGTGAAGATTAATGCAGTTTCTGGATGCACCCAGCCAAAAGAGAAGACTAATTGTAAGTTGCAGAAACAGTAAAGCGACACAGACTCCACATTTGCACAACTACACAAACCACAAAAAACAACTACATGTGCCTCCCCTAGATTCCCCGCTTTCACATTACGCCATTGCCAACATTACCTTGCCTAATAGAGGGCTCCCGTGGCTCACTTATTAGTCACTTTGTTTGGCTGCCCTGCCTACCATGTGCTCAACCATCCCCTCCACTCTCATCCTCCCTATAAGCTTATGAAACAATGTTATACTCACATCCTTCCAAACGGCTCCGTTAAGCAGGACCTGCTAAAACGCAATGTGTGGAGCAATGTCTTGAAGTTTTGTGAGACCTATAAAACAAATGAAATCACCATTATGTGAATAATATCCCTTAAAAATTTTATAAATGAAACTATGATAGTTTTATTTTCATTTTCAATTTTACTTCAGAGCCACATGTATGTACCCAAAGAGCTATAAATAACATCAATAGTCTTATGACTCCCATATTTATATCTATGGTTCGGGCCTCTTTTCTGAAATCCAGACTCATTTCCAGCTGCCTACAATCCAGTGCACTTGGGTATCTATTGGCCAGTTTAAATTCAACATGCCTACAACGAAACTTCTGATTTCCTTTCCACAAAAAGTCTAACCTACCTCCATCCTCCATCCTGGAATATTGGTGGAATATTGGCTACTCCATTGTTTTTTTTGTGTGTTTGTTTTTGGTTTTTTTTATTATTATTATTTTTAGTTTCAGGTGTACAAAACAATGCAATAGTATCGTTTTCACCCCTCACAAAGTGACAACCCCTCTCCTCCCATCCACGTCCTCCCACCCCTGATATCATTCACATCTATTACAATTCCATTGACGCCATTCCCACACTCTACTCCACATCCCATGACTATATATGTATTAAATTATAGTTGACATATAATATTATTCAATGGCAGCTTCAGATGTACAGTGCAGTGGTCAGGCCTCTATACCATCTATGAAGTGGTCTCCCTAACAAGACATGAGTCCATCTGGCCCCCTAAAATATATTTACAACATTATTGATTCTATACCCCAAACTGTCTTTTCTATCCCTGAGGCCATATTGTAGTTACCAATTTGTACTGTCTCGTCCCTTCCCCTTCTCCCTCATCCCCACCCCCTCCCATCTAGCAATCATCAGTTTTTGCCTCTGTGTCTCTGAGACTATTTCTGGGAAAACTAGAGCTCTTAAGATAAAGGTAATACAGGCAGCTCCAGGAGTCGGGGGTTAGTTTTTAGTAGTTATCAGTCCTGGGAGAGTGACTTGTCTGTTCAAAGAGGAGCTAAAGGTCTTTAGTTGGCTCACAGGAACAGAAGCAATAGTCTTTTTTTCTGGGGGAGTCCTGGGAGACTTAAATAAAACAGGTTTGACTGGAAGGGAAGGGAACCCAGCTGCTGACTCTCTGTAGCCTGATAGTAGTTGGGGTGTTTGGCAGGAATAGTAAAGAGTCCCTTCTGTTTAGGAGTTAACTGGGCTGTTAGAGATCCCACCCCTTCTAGGCTTTTAACAGCACTTGGCCCTGACTTTTCAACATTATGACTTTAAGGAGCTGTAATGTGTAGAAGAGTCAGCCTGGGGGAGGTGCCAGTTCTTATATTTTCAGTGCCTGCTGGACATTTTTCCGCTATTGTAACAACATAGAAAATAACGGAATTGAGGTCAGACTCCAAAGCAATGGGCAGCAATTAGAACTAGGGCTTAGAGGGCTCCTGACAAAACTTTTTCAAGAATCCTTTTTAAGTCTGATTTGTTTATTTTATATTATTTTTAAAGCATAGGCCAATGGTAAGGAATAGGCAGAGTAAAATGAGCCCAAATCTAGGGGCTTTTTATCTTTACTGCCGAATAGGTTTTAGAGGAAATAAACAGGTCCAGAGTGAGCGGTCAATAAAGAATAAATGTTTTTTATATTAATCAGGAAGTTAACAGGCTTACCTGCCACATCAAGGGTCACCCACAGTTCCACCTCTGTGATGAGAACAGCTTAGGACCCGCTGGGAACTTCAAGCCCAACAGTGATCAGAGCCATTTGTGGGTAGGGAGCTGGTCCCTGCTCCCATCAGAGCAGGGGGTAATCCCTCCTCCAGTGCCCTTTTAGTTTGCACTGGGGGCACGGTTGCTTTGGAGGATTAGGACATTCCTTACTCCAGTGGTCTTGCCTTTCCTCTTTTGGGGTTTCTGGGGTGCCCTGAGGTGGCTTCAGCCCTGGGTTGTCTATAATTGCGGCCAAAAGTCTGGCCTGTCTCTGGTCCTCTAGTCTCACTGTTCCTTTATTACTTGTTTTTCCTGTCTCGGTTGTTACAGATATTTAAACGATTTTTTTGGCCTTTTGTAGGTTCTGTGGCTTTTTATTGAGATGGAAAAATGGGTCAGAATTACTATAATTTCCCATCAGGTGAGGGAAAATATTAGGCCAAGCTTAATGAATTTACCCTAACTTATTTAGGTTTTTGGTAAAAACGGTTAAATTATTTTTTTTGTAGTTGTTTATATCTGACATGAAAAGGGCACATGAACACCAGTAGTCCTAGAATATAGAAATTCATATAACTATTAGCAAGGCTTAGTTTTTAGATTTAGTTAGTTTGTTTGTTTGTTTGTTATTTTCAGTAGCCAAAGACCTGATTAAGATAACATAAAACAGAGACATTATTGTGATGACATATATAATCTTTGTTTTTTAGGTAGAAAACTTTTTTATAATATTAGTAGTAGACCAATAGTCTAATAAACTTTGTCTTACGCAGCGAGAGAAAACTCAACTCGAATTTTGTACTAGCTTCACAACCTTAATTTTTACTGATAACCAAAAGCAAGTAATTAGCACTTTCCCTGGTAAATCGAGGAATATATTTTGTAATCTTCAAAAGCATAGGATCTTGTAATGTAATATATGATATATTCATTAACAGATCTTAATTTATCTTTTAACGTTCCTGCAACAAGAAGCCAGAAATAAACTCGGATCTATCCAATAATTGATATTTTAGTATTTCGTTATTTTGAAATACCTAGTTAAAAACTTTTATCATTTAACACAACTTAGTAAAAATAAGAAACCAGCCTTAGTATCAAATATTTCCTTAGATCATGTGATCCTGAGAAGTAGTTGAGTTCGTTTTTATTATCTAAATTAATATAAGCACTTAATCTCTTATTTTTAGCCATTCGAATATTATAAACTGATATTACCATCCAGAGGCAAAAATATTATAATATATATAAAACATAGAGAAGTATTGACCTTAGAGACTATATATATATAAACAGAACCACCAACAATTGTAGAGAGAACCTAAGATCTTATAGTTGTCCTTATAACTTCAGGAATCTGTAATAAGGAGTGGGGGGCTTGCCACCTGGGTTTAAAAGTGCCTCTTCTTTTTTTCCCTTCAGTTACCTCAGCCTCAAGTGGAGGCTGCAGCCTCCCTTTGTTGACATTTGAGGTTATCTGTAAGACCTTGAAACTCACTGAGAGTCAGAGAAATTTTTTTAAGAATTCCTTTTGTCAAGTTCCTGAATGTAGAGCTGGTGTACCAAACAATTTGAAATATATGACTTAGGGGGCTCACAGAATGTAAAGATGCAGAGCTCCCAATCAACTTGGTGTCTAAGACACCAATATGAAAGGAAAAGAGAAAAGAAAGACTAGAGACAAAAAAAAACAAATAAATTATATAAACCTGAGTACTTACAGAACCAAATCCTCCTGAAAAGAGGAGCTGGGGTTTGGGGGAGAAGGTTTAGGCTGACGATAGTAAGGCGTGGGCTGGAGGAAGAGGGGCCTGATTGTCAGCTGGGTCAAAGGAGGGAGTTTCATCTGGAGGAGAAGGCTTGGAGTGGGCTACAGGGGTCGGCAAACTGCGGCTCACGAGCCACATGTGGCTCTTTGGGTAAGTTCTGTCTCAAAAGTTTGCCGACCCCTGGAAGAGCCAATCCTGTCCCTCACAACAATTTAAAAATTACTCAAGAGCCATAAATATATTTTTACAAATAAGGACAATTTAAAGTAATATTATAAATGAAACTGATAGTTTTATTTTCATTTTCAATTTTACTTCAGAGCCACATGTAAGTACCCAAAGAGCCGCATGTGGCTCCCAAGCTGCAGTTTGCTGCCTCCTGGTGGCTCTTTTGGTTTCAAAAGTTTGCCGACCCCTGGGCTAGGAGAATGTGAAAAGTGTTGTAAGTTTGGCAGAGAGAGGGTGGAGCCCAAAGACTGAAGAAGGCCTGGATGTAGGGAATTTCTGACCACTTTCCGTTGCAGTGACTGAAGTCGTATTGGGGCCAGGCAGTGTTATAGTAAAAGCTAAGTTGTGTGGGTCAGATCTCCTGTAAGTTGAGCCCAAGGGCGTGTAAATTGCGGAGGAGATAACCCAGAGGGGTAGATTTGGCAGGGACTGAATGTGAGGTCCCCATGGTTCGAACAGATGGAGTGAGAAGGGTGAGGAGGGAGCCTCCTATTAAGGGGAGACTAAGGGGATGAGGCGTCCCAAATCCCGGTGTTCCTCGAGTACGAGTATGAGAGATCACTCACAGACTGGGCGTCCCCAAAACTGGGAGGATCTGAGCCCCCCGGGGCCAGAGGAACCTTCTGGCCTAGCGCTAGGACTTTCGGAAAACCGGAGAGTCAAAAGGCCCGAGCCGAGAAAAGGAGATCTCACTCACCCAGTGTGAGAGTCTGGCCTGATGTTGTCTGGGATGCCAGCAACAGAAGGGAGAAAGTCCCGAAGTGCGTCCTTATGGCAGGTCCGGCAGCTCCGGGAGGGCAGCCAGAGAACGGAACAAGCCGCGGGGAGGGAGAAGAGAAAGGGAAGGGACGATCCTGCTTTCTCTGCCCTAAACCCTCCCGGCGGTCGGCACCAAATGATAGGTCGGCCTGTAAAGGAACGCGCTCACAGTCAGGCAAGTTGAGAAAGTTTAAGAAAGTTTAAGAAAGGCTATTTTATTAAAAGACAGTCTATCGGGCTGAGCAAAGATGGCTACAGCCTGGGCTGCACGTCTAAAGGAGACTTGCAGCGCCGAGGGAGGGGGTGAGGAGGGTTATATAGGGGGCGGTGCTGACAGGGCAGCTTTGTTTGAACAGAAAACGCTGACTGCCTGTAAGCCAGTAGCCGGTTTGTGGTGTTTTCTGTTATCCCAAGTTTGGCTCTGTCTGCAGGTGCAGGCCAAGACATTTTGTTGTTTTCTTGCAGACATGGCTCTGTCTCTAAGTCAAGGTCTCTGAGACCTAACATTCAGAGATCTAACAAGCACAAAGGGAAAAAAAAGTGTGTCATGCCACTCTTAAGTACCAATCAGTAATTAAGATACAGCGAATCTGAAATTGCAATTAAAAGATCAATTGCATTTCCAAGTTTTCTTTATTTTTAGTCTTTTGCGGTTTCTTTATATTTTTTAGTCTTATATTTTGAGGTGTAATTTATACACAATAAAAACGCAAATCTTAAGTGTGCAGCTCAATGAATTTTTATTATGTATACAGCCATGTAACCACCCAGTGCACAATAAAGAATGGTCTCATTGCCCCAGAATGTGTTTTGAATGTTACCGAACAGAAAACAAAAATACCAGATCAGCCGATACTGGACCCCTGGTAGTTCTATAATATCTGAAATGTTGCCAACTACTTATTAGCTTGTTTGAAGGTCTCCAAGGTTCACTGTGCCCTGACAAGCATTCTAAGTATAATCTGCCTAAACAAAAATATATATTCCTTCTACTGGTGTATATGTATTTTTAGTTATTATATAGCTTATAGTTACTGTATGTTTTGTGTCATCCTAGTGGGCAGGTAAATCCATCCTTAGTCAAAGAAGAAAGACCAGTCATCTGACTGCTTGCTTTTCTTTATATTAACAGGGGAAAAATAATCTAAAATGAGGATCCTGTTTGCAATTATATAGTAATAGATAATTATTAACTTAAGAGTGCCTTTATCACTTGATCGTAACTGTCATGTGATGAATATATTGAAGGCAATACTGACAATATTATGTGCTCTGGAAACTACTTGAAATTAACACTGAAAGAACCAGGAAATTTGGTTCAAACAAAGCAAAGAAAAAAATCAAGTAATTTGCAATGAAAAGTCTAAAGGAATGAGTACGAAAACCAAATTTTTTACTCTAACACACTTTTCTCTGGACTTCAGTTTCCTCATATAAAAGATTACGAATTTAGAAAATCCCTAATAATCTATCCCACTAACATTCCATGACCTTTGGCCAATTTGAAAACTAATGGCAATTCCATTTTGAATTAATTAAGCCATGGTCTATGATAAAAACTTGATTTGCAGCAATCAAGTCGTTAATGTAATCATCTTCATCCATAAAGGACATGCAGATATTTAATTGGTGTTTCGCCCTTTCATTAAGCCATGAGATCTTGGAGCAGAGAAAGGATGTTTCCTTTGTTATCTGCTGTTCCAAACTGCAGAGAGAATAATGAATCAGATTGTTGCTATAAAAAAGTTAAGGCATTTGTACATATCTCATACAGAGTACAGCTGAATTTAGCCAATGGCTCTCCTCTACTTCTTACTCAAAATGAAGAAGCACATGTAATCTGATAAAGTAGTGTGTGTGCGGTTTTCTTTTTGTTCACATTCTTGCTTTCCCTCTGTATCCATTTTCACTCCACCCTAGGCCTTGACAGACCTAAGCCAATCTCCAAAACTAAATAAATGCTAAGGGGCTCCTTGAAGAGCTGAAATTTGCAGGAAAATAGTGGAAAACAAAGAGATTGCAAAGTGTATGTAATACTTCCACTTTTCCATGTCTTCAGGGACCAAAAAGTACCAAAAGCACAATAAAAAAATATTTCATAAATATTATTTAATAGATATGCTTACTAAACAATATATATATATATATATATATATATATATATATATCCTTGTTCTAACCAACAAACACTATTATGTGTTGCAAAACTTTTCAAACAATACCCTAAATATCCTATGATTAATAACTAGTGTTAGGCACTCAGGAAAGTGCCGTAATCCATTATAGTCCTTTGACATTCACTCAAAGGCCACAAAATCTTGGAGGTCAAAAACTCTGTTTCTAGGTGCCAAAGCAGTTTAAGGACTAACCTGATGGTCCAGGCTTGCCCTGGCCAAGCAGATCTGTTCTCTTCTGTGATATGGACTAATCAGAATCTTCTGATGCTGTAGCCTAGGGTCAGGAGTGCAACACAAGCATACTTCCCTTCTCTTTCTCCTCTACTTACTTGTGTGACTGAACAGTTAACTTAACCACTCTGTACCTCAGTTTCCTCACCCTTAAAATTAGGATAGAAGTAGTATCTACTTCAAAGAATGGTTTCAGTATTCAGTGAGGTAATAACAGATGTAAACTATTGAGAAAAGTTCCTGGCATGTAGTAAACACTAGATAAATAATGGTGGTAATGGGCATGGTGGTGGTGGTGGTATTAGTGGTTGGAGAGTGATCAAAAGATGTTGAGAAATGGAAGGAAGCACCCTGGTGCATTCTGGAACAATTCAGACAACCAAATTCGGGGCCCCCTACCCACTCCCACCAAAAGTTTATAATAGAACCAATCCAGACACTTTTTGGAGAGATCTTGTTTGCTGTAAATCCAACTGGCTAAAGGAGTAATGCATTCATGGACAGGGTATTGTCCGGCTCTGATTCTGCCAGTCTTGAAAACCATCAAGGCATTTGATCGATGCTTAAGGGGCATGATGGAAGACCAAATGGTCCCTGGAGTTAGCCAGTGTGTCTTGTAAGAAGAGTTCCATAGATTCTGCCCCCATCTTTTGCTTCCTGGAATCCTTTGGGTAAGATATGCTGCAAAGATCAGGAAAGCCAGAGAGCATCCGTAATCCTGATTAGGCCATTAAACTTGACAACACAGTTGGGCCTGCCAGCAACTTGTGATTCATTGTCATTTGTCAAGGTTAATTTCAGCAATCAGGTTTCTTAGTCACTGAAAAGTCATCCCCATTCTTAGTTGCACAAATTTTACAGAGGCTCTGTTTGAAGGACTTTGTTTTAGTGCTTAGAGTCACAGATTTGCAGGAGAACAAAAACTTACTGAATAAATATGGATACAGTATATGACATTCTCTAATAATAACTTCATTCTGTAAATCTGTCTAGATTTAAGTGTGCATTTAAAAAAGTCCCTTATTGCTTTAAATTATGCAAATGTAATGAAATGATGAAGAGATTTAGCCATATCAATCAACCAGTCAAATATCAGTTGAGGATCTGTATACCTAATTCTGTCCTTGACCAGAGACTCTAGATCAGTGCTGCCCAATAGAAATATAATGAAAGACACATATATAATTTAAAATGTTCTCGTATCTACATTTTAAAAAGTAAAGAGAAACACATGAAATTCATTCAATAACATTTCATTTAACCCATACATCCAAAATATTTAATATGTAATCAATATTTTAAAAGTATTGAGATATTTTACCTTTTTTGTAGTAAGACTTAAAAATCTAGTGTGTTTTTTAATCTACCTCTTCTCAATTCAGAGGAGACACATATCAAGTGCTCAGTCACCACATGTGGCTACCATATCCGCACAGCTGTAGAGTATACAAATCTCTCTCTTAAAGTAGCTTATGATTTAACCTGAAATAATAGCAACCATTTATTGAACATATACTATATGCCAGATACTATACAAATAACTTTATTATCCCATTTAATCTTTATAATACCTTGTGATGTGTTTATTTTTAATCCTTGGTTTACAGGTGGAGACGAAAGTTTAAAAGATTCCAGAATCCTATAAGAGTAAGGGACAAAAAAGATAGGATTTGAACCCAGGCCTAGATGGCTATATCAAGTAGCATTCAAGAACAAATGAGTAAGACTCAGTACAATTTACTTAAATATTAAGTGAACAGATATTTTATATCTTAAAATAATTGATTTACAAGGTGTGATCACAAAATACGGTGAATGTTTAAATTTAAAAAAATTTATTACATTAAAACACACATTGCCATTAATCCCCCTTGCTTCAAACACATTTATCCCACATTCTTGCCACTTTCTGAAGCAGTTCTGGAAGTCTTCTTTCGTGAGTGCCTTTACTTCATCCTTCATTATGACAATGCTCTGTGTCACACATTGCTTCTGGAATGGCAGTTTCTGTCAAATACAAACATTATGCTGTGTCCTCATCCACCTTATTCACCGGATCTGGCACTGTGAGACTTCTGGCTCTTCTCCAAAGTCAAAATGACCATGAAAGATAAACATTTTGAATCGATTCAGGACATCGAGCCAGCCATGACAGCACAACTAAAGACACTCATGAAAGAGGACTTCCAGAACTGCTTCAGAAAGTGGCAAGAATGATGGGATAAGTGTGTTCATGCAAGGGGGAGTATTTTGAGGGGGATTAATGGCAATGTGTCTTTTACTGTAATAATTTTTTTATTTAAACATTCACTGTATTGTTTGATCGTATCTTGTAGTTTTTCTTATTTTACTGTGTAAGGTATAGAAAGACCTTTCTCTGGACATGATGAATACCTTCCGCTCATTTACAGATGGGCTAGCATCTGTATGTGTCCTATAACATTTGTTTATTCATTCATTTAATCAATTATATGTGAGCTATGTATGAGACAGTAAATTAGGTATTATTTATAATCACTTTTTATTCTATTATCCATCAAGTAAGCTGTACATCATCATTTTGAAGTTTCAAAATATTTAAAATGCCTGTCTTTATTCAGCCAACAGGACTTTGAGATGCTAATATTTATTCACACTATAAATAATGCTGTCTATATTTTATTCTGTTATATGCAAGGTATTAATGGAGATACAAACATCAAAAGTTTATGATCTAGTATGGAAAACAAGGTACAAGCACAAATAAGCATGAGAAAAAGCAGTAAGTCTTCAAAGCCTCTTACAATGTGCCATATGCATTAAAAAGGGCAGATACAAATTTACACAGGAGTGATGAGGAAAAGCTAAAGAAAGGGGGTAGTATTTGACTTGAGGATCAAAAGCTGG